CCAGCTTCCGCAAGTAGTACATTCAGCTGTCCAGGCATTCGTCCTGAAAAGGTTATGCCGAGGCCGATAAGCTCCAGGAGTTCGCTCGGAGGTAGCCGGAACAGAAAAATAATTAAAGAAAACCAACCGGCAACAGGATGGACTGCGAACCGTACTCGGATTCCACGATCAGTGAGTTCCTTGGCTAGTTGGGCTATAGGGTACTGGGCTTGGGCTGCACACAATCCGTAACCGGGTACGATGATTATCGATTGGGCATTCGTGAGCCAGTCGACTGTCTGTAACAGTCAGATAAACTTGTCCATTTTCACTGAATCAGTTTCTAGGACTTCTTTTCTGATCGGTTAGGCACGATACGCCATCTGAGAGAAGGTCTTATAATCAGTCCACGTCTACCAGATTCCTCCACGAATAGTAGTAATAACAGGTTAACTGGTTTTACCTCATTAACGTTTGTCTCCGTAGCCGTGCCTTCAATAGCTTTTGCTTTACCAGTTCCTTGTGATTTCGTTCCAACACCACCAAGGATGACACTAATTAGTGAGCGGTTCATTGCCTAAGACAAGCCAACATTAGTACGGATGAGTTGGTTAGGCCTATCCTTACCTAAAGGCCTACAAAAGGCCTAAGCATTCTCAGCACTCACTTTGCACATAATATGAGAAAGAATAGCTCCGGAACTTCCTATCAAAGCTCCAACAATCGTTAGTAAATCATTATTGAGCATAAAACCTTCGGCACATAGAGCCCATCCGGAATAACTGTTCAGTACGGTTATCACAACAGGCATATCAGCTCCTGAAATCGATCGATCGATNGCGAAGCTTATCAGAACTTCCTCAGCCAGTCCGCCGAGTCAGGAACGCGACTGCGATCGATAAGCACCATTTGTGTTGCAGTGATCTTCACAGTAATTTAGGTGGCGATGGAAAAATGCTCATACCTCCAATGGCCATCGTCAATGTCACTCCCATGAGACTGCTAAGGCCAGCTGTCGTACCAAGCATACCAAGACCAGTAGAAAAGTCATCAGTTGTCATGTACAAACCAAGGGCACCGATATTTCCAGCCAACAATCCCGCATTTATGGCATGTCGGCCAGGTAAATAGGTAGCCGCTGAGCCAAGAATACCTGTAATGTTAAGAACTAGTACTGCTGTAGGACGGCAGCATTCGCCTTGGTGGCTGTACTTACCTTGAAGCTTTCCATATGCCATCAGACTACCAGTAAATGTTACACCACCAATGTATGCACCAAGGAACAAAGACATCTTGGCAGCAGTAAATGCTTGAAATTTAGCAAAAAAGTTATTTAAAATAATACTATAACGTATACCCCAGGTTACCTGAGATACTGGTAAATTACCTGCTGGATCAGCAACGAAATGTGGATGCTCTACAATAAAGTCAGCTAGGCATGTCATGGTTGCAGCCAAACCGACAAATGAGTGAAACGCTGCCACTAATTGAGGTAAATCCGAGACCTGAGGATCGAAGTAGTAAGAGGAGTTTTTCATTTTCCTCATTACAAGTTATTACCAGACCGAAGGCTTGCCACATAGGAGGTTTAACAGTGAAGAAGGCTCTTTATAGAATTACTAGTTTTTGAGCCAAATATAATA